CTGCTGGTCAATGTCGGCTGGCGACTCCCCAGGGGAAGGGCCTTCTCTGTTGCTGCTCCAGCCCTCTGGAACGATCTCCCCGTTGAGATCCAGATCCTCACTACCCTTCCGGCCTTCCGCAAAGCGACAGAGACCTGGCTGTTCCGGCAGGCCTGGGGCTGTTGAATTGTCCAGCCCCACCCTTAGTTGTGAATGTTGTGTTTTTTTTAATGTTGTCTTGTTTTTGTATGTCCCTCCCTCCCCCTTTTTTATTGTAAGCCACCCTGAGTCTCTTTGAGAGTGGGCGGCATACAAATTAAATAAATCAAATCAAATCAAAACTGAATATGTCATATCTATGAAATTCCATGAAGTAACTTGTTAGTGTAGAGTTGGTACATGGAATTCTGATTCTCTCCCTCCCCGTCTTCATTTATTTATCTCCAAAATTATTCAGCTCAGTTCATTTTATGCTGCTCTGTGAATGCAAATGACTTCATTTTTAAACAATCTACAACAGCACAGGTAACCCCATGAAGACTCAAATTAAAGATAATCACTCATCTCAATTCTCTATCAAGAAAAATCAGATTTGCAGTTACACCTCTCATACAACTGATTTTCTAATTTATGTTTTAACATATGTTGAGAAATACATTCATCAATATTGCAACTTTTAAAAAATACTTTGTCTATTAAAATATTCTATATAATATCCTTAAATATTCTATATAATTATAACAGTCCAAAGGTTATCTAGTCCATAAATGGTAGCCAACCTTTCCAGGTGGTGTGCATGGTTTTTTTTTGAGAAACCACAAAAACAACTGAATTCAAAACTACAATTCAAATAGTTTTTTCCAGCAATTTTTATTTAGAGTCATCCTATCTCTGAACCAGGAGGTAATGAGTAACTCTATTATCACCAATACTCATTAACTACTTTATTCTCCATGACAGAAAAGAATGGATAACACATTACACTTCTCAAACCTATCTAAGGTAGGGTATCAAATTCTGCTTATGTTTGTTACCCAAAAATAACCCAAGCAAGTAAAAGATAACAGTGAATATCTTACATCTCTAGATAACCTGGAGGTTGAATGACTAAATGTCTAAGCATCTTTGCTCAGAAACGTAAGCTTAAATGTTATACAACCTGAAGATCACATTCTATGGACAGTTATTTATTCTTATGGAGTCAAGAAATTGAAAAATTGATAATGCCTCATTAGTAGGATCTGCTGGCATCACCACTGCAGCTGCCTCTGAGAGTTGTGGAGAGCTATGTGAAGCTTTCAATTAAATAGAAGTCAGTTTGATACATATGGAGTTCTTTATTTCCTTATCCATCCAAACTTTTGCTCAAAATGAGGATATGCCTAACTGTTTGGAGCCAAGACATTGCTTTATTCTTTCCTTTTTATTTCACCCTAAAGAGCCTTTGTTAAATAATGCAACATAGCTGAACACAAGTCAGTTATACAGTGGGGCAAAAAAGTATTTAGTCANAAGGAAGGGAAAAAGAAAAAAAGGGGAAAAGAGAAGAACAGAAATAAGAGGGAAGGAAGGAGGGGGAGAGACCCATTTC